AAATTCTTTTCATTAGACTTCCTATTTAAAAACAGGGCAGTGTATTTTCCTGTATGCTACATGTTTTATAGCTACATTGACTTCAGTTGTTATCTAGATTAATGTATTTGCTTGTGTAATTTTCTATGAGGTAAGAGTGCTTACTTTTTTCTTTCTTCAAGCTCCTAGGTGGGAGCTATCATTCAGTTTGTAGAATTTTTGAGTAGTTTAGACTGGAAGAGATCTTTGGAATCATCTATTTACAATGACCAGCTCAGTGGAGGGATTAACTTTGGATTTAGGTTGCAATGCTCAGGAACACTGAAATCTTGGATTTTGAAAGAAGATCAGTATTTTTTGTTTAAAATTGTTCACTATTACTGCATGTGATGGAATAAAATGAACTATTTTGCAATATTGTAACTTTTGGATCTTGTATATAGATCTTAATTGATGGATGAACCAAAGAGGGAAAGGTGACAAGAGGGTTGCGTGGAAGAGAAGGCTTTTATTACTTTAACTCCTTGCTGGCAGTTTAACTTCAAGTGAGATAGTCATTGGAATGAAATAGAATGTTCTGAGGAAAAAACAAATAATGCACAATGAAAAGTATCCCCCAAATTCTGCTTTTGACTGCTAAACTAGCAATTTTAACCACCAGCACAGTTTATGGGGTAAGTGTTCTTTTGGTAAGGCTTTTTTTTATGCTGTGTCTTAGTGTTATTTTGGTCACCATTCACTAGCTGAAAGGTGAGTGAGTAAGGAAGTTCATCTCCTGGCCACAAACACTTGAAGAAAACTGTATGGTCTGTTGTCTTAATATTTCTGTTGATATCTTGCCTTTTGCTGTTCTAAAATACTCCATGCCATATTTATTCTATACCATATTTTTTTTGACAGTTTTGTTACCATGAATAGTGCATCATTTGAAGAGGAGATTTTAATTTTCTTTGGACTGCTGCAATTGCAAGGCCTGTTTCCAGGGGAAAAAAGTGTAGTATTGGTTTGTCAGTTAAACAAACAAACAAAACCCCTCCTTTTATGACTACTTGTGTTTTTATTTTCAGTGTGAGAAGGGAATTGCATCTGATACATTCTCCTGTATCAATTCTTAGGTGTCTTTTCAAAACAGTTAGTTTCATGGTTTTATAGAGTGAATTTTAAAATACCCCAATACATTTACAAGGAAAAAAAAAAAACACCACACACAAAAACCAGAAGAGCCATCTTGACAGTTCTCTGTGTACTTAGACTGCTGGTATCAATGATGATTGAGGTGCGAGAACGTTGTGCAGGGTATACCTCAAATGCTCAAGAAATCTTGTGTCTAATACTTGTAAAAGGGGAGAATCCATACTATATTAAATGTGAAATATATATGTAATTTGAAAACTGGGTGTGTTCAATATTTTTGTGTAGATCTGTTTTTTTTACAGTTGACATTAAAATGAGTTGGATTTGTGAGGAAATCTCATTTTCAATGCTTATCTTAAGTAATTAGCAAGTATAATGCTATAGTTGCCATCATAGCAAATTCTTCCAATGAATCAGATTTTCTTGAGGGTTGTTTGGGTTAGGAGGTTCTGAAGTACTCTACAAGAATCCTGCAATAGAAGTCATTTGGAAAGCTTTCTTTTGAGTTGTGTTAAACAATTGTCCTTTTACAATAGGATATTATTCTTTGGTTGCTTCCCTTTGTTTTTTGTTTTTTATTTTTTTAAATCTTCCAAAAGGTTAACTTATGCTTTACTGCACATTCTTTGTCTTATGGCTTTCTTTTCCCCCTGTAATTGCATATCACCCATTTTTCTTGTTCTCTTCCAGTTTAAGTTGTTTTCCCAGGTACCAGGTGACTTCAGAGGTTCTTAATCGCCTCCCCACATATTTCTCTAGTAAAAGTTTAGCCCTCCTCTCTTGCTGCTCAAGTTTAACTCCCTGTTATGGGTAGTTATGGGTGGCTTCAGGGAAGGAGCTGAAGCAGGCAGCTACTCAACAGAAGAATGGGCAATCACATAGTGAGGAAAAGAAGTTCTGCGAAGATAACGCTATCATTGCTATGTTCTGCCAAGGGGTTGAGTATCCAAGAATGAAACTCCCAGCTGGGCTGGAATATCAACCAGCACTGGTTCGGCTACTCTGTCATAACTGCCTGTTGGTATTCCTTTCTCTCTCATATTTTGGGCAAAACTCGTGGAATAGTTGACCTACCTTACCTGCAATAACTTACTTATGATCACATAGTAAATAGCTGTCCAGAACATGATTTGTGGATGATAAGACTGGATTTTTGTTATCATCTGGACTCCTGCAGATACAGGTTTTGACAAATTATCTAAGCGCATGTTTTTATAGTTAATATGTCAAGCATTTAATTACATTAATGATAGTTGCTGTCAGTTAACGTTTGAAATTGAGTATTTTGTCTGACAGGGGATTGATCTTAAATTTGCTAATTCCATGTTAACAGTATATAAGAAATTTCCCCGTGCTGAAAATTGAAAAGAACATGATAAGTTGTGAACATGCAACAGTAGGAATAATAATAATTCTTGTACGCAAGATCTTGTTGATTAACAGGCAGCAGAGATAAGGCACATTTATGGCTCTTGAGTCTATAGCTGCAATGTTTTTTATATGGTCATGGTTCAACACCAAAGTTAAAGCTACAAAATGGCAAATAATTACTATATGTTTTTTGTTACAAAGTCTAGACTAGACTAAAAAAAGTAAAAATTGCTGGTTCTGCCTCTCTTTTGTTGTACTTATTGTTAACTGAAGACTGTTAGCATTTCAAGCTGAGAAAAAACTGCTTTATTGGTAGGAGGAAGTGTAGTGTGCTTTCTATAAAAAGTGTATATTATAGCTTGCCAACACTTCTGTCCTTTGCAGAGAAAACAAGTTAAGTTCTAGTACCTAGTACAGCTTTATAGCTCTGTACTTAACATCCTTATCTAGCTGGTATTGTACTTGACCCTGCCTTATATGGCACATTTTGCATTAAAGAAAGAACCACCAGCTTACTGTCAAACCTGAGGTGCATCAAGTAAATTATGTGCAGTAATTCACAATCTGGTACTTTCCCTTGTAGCTAAAGAGTATCTCACAGCTGTTTGTGGCATGTTCTGTTTTCACACACGCACATATGCACTCATGCGTGCACCGACAGTCTGATTTATGTGAAATGATAGCCATGGTGTCTTTTCTACCATGTTGGGCTAGGGATTGACATTAGCAATGATATACTGCTTTTTCTTGTGCTGCTTCATGTCAGGGCTGAGGTGTAAAAGCAGACTAATATCAACAAGATTGTATGCTGATTTTGTGACTTAACTCATTGGTACTAGTTTCTGGGAATGATTGATCCTAATAGGGCTGCTGATTTCACTTGAAGTGTCAGTTGACATTACTGTGAAAGGTGTGACAAAGTAATTGCATCTTCTGTTACAAAGTTTTAACGGGATTCTAGGGTCAGAAGAAGAGGTCCTTGTTGGTGTTCGTCAATGGCCTTTCATATCTGTGCCTTAAAACCTGCCTGTGTCTTTTAGTTACAAGGCCTTGCTTTTCCTCTCCACACTAAGCCATATTCTTTTGAAAATAGTGTATAATATTCTTAGATTGAGTACATTTTCTAGGTTAATATGACTTACTAGAAACAGAGTTATTGACCTGAGAGCCTTTTGTCGTGTATCCTATGACGATTTCCCATACCAGGATATTTTTGCAGAACTATTGACTCTGTTCTTTCAAATATTGGTGTCTACTGCTTTAAGCGTGTGAAGACAGAAGACTCATGTTTGACATCCCAAACATGATTGAACAAAAAGGAGTTTTATGAAACTGTAAAAATAGTATGAATGTATTTTGATTTTATTAATATTTCCATTTGAAGGTTGGTTATAGCAAGGCTGATTTAACTGCCTAGTATATGGAATTGTTTTCAAAGTGCATCTGAACTTACACTCTTAAGTAATAAATGGAATGATTTTCAGAATCAGGTAAATTTTTTTGCATATGCTTATTCTCAGCACGTGTGTTCACTCAAGTGTGGAATATAAGTTAACATTTTTCCAGAATATTCATGAGAAAAAATTTTTGGTAGAAGTTTCATTGGTTTTCATTTTCAACTGTGAATTTCTTTCTATTTCATCCTTTTGATGTAAACAGTAATACTAAAATCCCTTGGAATTATCTCTGTGATAGCGTACTTTGTTTTCCCCTAAGTGATGACTCTTCCACTCTGGGTACTATCTTTTGAGTATTGTTTCACAGCAGGCCGTGGTTCATGATCAGTAATGTCAGAACTCTTTTGCTGTTGGATGACTGAGTGTCAGTTGAATCTGGATCAATTTGGCTTGTTATTTGTCTATTTAGTATAAATACATGTTACATAGTTTATGTTGATACTGCAATTTTATGCTGGTTTCAAAAGGATGGTCAGTATCTGAACCAAGATATCAATAGCACGGTGTAATTGATCAAAAAAATGTACCACCACCAAGTTAAGTCAAAACTATTTGAACAAAGTTGAAGTGGCAGACTGAGTTTATATACCATAATATAACACATCAGAGCTTGGTTTCCAGTCAACACTAGTATTTTTGAGTTGTGAAGCCAGTTTGGCTCTTACTGAACCACGGCCTTTAGGCAATACTGTAATAAGACCTCTTTATTTACATTTAAAATGTAAATATACTTCTTATTAATTAAAAACACTGGGTGAAAATGGATTCATTTGCAGTTGATGACATAAGTGGGAGCTTTAGGCTGCTGCATCTGATAAATGAAACTTGTGATGTTTAACCTTTAGCATTATGCAAAAATGTACAGCATTGCTATATTGAACTCATTATTCCATTTGATTTTATAAAAACAGGGAAGTATAGTTAACTTTATTCCTTGTACGTTTTTATAATCAATGGAAGCTTTTGAAACTTGAAAAAATTCTATTTTCATGGAGTAAATGGGAATGTTTTAAGTTCTAAGAATGATAGGTTGACCATGAAAACTATGTTTACTTTCAGAGAGAACAGGAAATGAGAATGGGTGATATGGGTCCTCGTGGAGCAATAAACATGGGAGGTAGGGATCTGAAGGAAAAAGGCTTCTGTAATGTAAAATTCTTTTTCTTTGGGACTGTACATGTTACTCAAGCACTATTAATTAGTGACAAGACAACTACTGGTAAAAAGGAGTAAACAGTATTAGGATATAAAATATCCTCACATACTTTTCTGCCAAACAGCTATTTTTTTTTCCCCAAGGTGTATCTTTATTGTTTTGACTACCTGTGGGAGAAAAATATGATGTGCAAGTTAAGAGAAACAAAAAGGCAGGGAAAGGTGGTGCTCTAGAAATTATCTGATACAAAAGAGGAATTTTCTGTTTAGAAAGTATTTGGTGTTCTTTTGGAGGGACTACCTATTCAGAGAAGTTGGGACTGTACGTCGTTTCACTGCATGCAATTAGAGCTTAAAATTGTTAAGTTCTTGTCGATGTGCGTGACAAAAGATTAATCAGTGATGTGGTTGGTGTTCTAATTTATTGCAAGTCTGTATTTACAGATATTCTCGGTTCACTTTTGTGACTTAAAATAATGTCACTGCTAAAAATTGTTACTGTAAGGTCTAGAAAAGTACTTTCTTGATAATTGGTGCTTGTTCTGTATATGTAGACTGAAACAGTTTGGAATCTTAACTTACCCAGAATATCTGCTTTTAAACAAAACTGAAACTTAGAATATTTCTTTAAAAAAAATTTCTTACTAAACTGAATATGTCAATATGTATCTTGAGGAAGCTTCCTGATCATTTAAAGTAAAGATAGATGATAATTTAAAGAGAAGTTAATACTGTTTTTGTGTATTTTAAAGTACATCCAAAACTTAGTAAGCATTGTTGCTTGACATTTTGAGTAATGTGAATTTATAGACTAATGAGTCTGCTTGGTCCAAGTTTTAAAATACATTATTCACTATTTCCTTGCATTTATTAACTGAGACACATCTATAGCTGCAAAATAGAAAGAGGCTTTTTCTTTCAGTGAAGATGGAGAACTTTAAAAAGAATTCTAAAGGAAGACTTTGTGAAGCTACCTACAAATAATAAGCTGAAGCATAAATTGTGACTAATTTTTTTATTTTATAGTTGTACTTTTGCATGTATGTTGCAGTCTACTTGAAAATTTCATTTAATTAGGAGACTTTGTAAATACTGATACTGTCAGTTGTCCAGATCCACAAGATACACTTTTTACGTATAGATTTTTAAATGTGTGTTTATAGCAGTCAGTTCACAGCGCTTTTCATGTCAGGTTTTAATGCTTAACAGTGATGTTCATAGTCTTGCTTTGTAAGCTTTGTGCTATGACTTGATTTTTAAACTTGATACAAATGCTTTTAGAAATAAATGTGTAGTTCCAAAGAATTTGCATTAACAGTGAACTGCTATCTTAAAAAGGGAAAAATTTCCATAGCAAATAGGTAAAGATAGTGTGTGTTTCCACAATATGTGGATTTGTAGAGATTTTTTTTTCTCCAGCTCATTACCCACCCTGCTGCTACAGCCCAAAAAACCTGCAGTAGACCTTTTAAATAGTAGACCTTTAATTGTTGATCTTAGCATCCTTTCTCAACATTTGTTAGAATTGTAACCTTATTTTTAACTAGCCTTTACCTGTTCCCTTTGTTGACTTTTCATCATGTGGGACACTGCTGGAGTATCCTCAGTAATGGAAATAACCGCCATGATAGTGTTATTAGAAAGCAAGGTACCTCTGTGATGGAATTAGTTAGTGCTGGGCTGACTTGTGCAGGACCACTCATTTTTACATTGTTTTCTGAATCAAATAAGTTCTGAGAGAATCTGTATGCCTCATCATAGCACTTGACTGCATCTGTAATGCTAAGGGCAGCTGATAAACTTTTCGGGGGAGGCGGGGGAAGCTTTTTTGGCAACTATCTCTGCATTGATGAGGATTATTGACTATGACTTGTTGCCAGCTGTGCCAGACGTTGGCATGTGCTGTTTGGACGCTTACAGTGTACTTTTTCAACCCTCCAGATTGCAGAAAAAGACCTTTTTTTTAGTGTCCATGCATTGTGCCCTGAACACTGATGACTGCTTTCCATCTGTTGCTGAACCTGGTCCAGTGAATATACTTCTGACATCAATGTTCCTACCAAAAAGAATGGGCAATCAAGGGGTTAGCTCTTAGGGTCTGTTTCGGAGCTAGGAGGACCTCTGAGGTATAGCTAAAATGCTATAGTGGCCTGTTCCTGAAATTGTGCAGGGCCCCACTGTCCTTCCATTACACTCCCTAGTTATCCTGCTGTCAGAGCTGATTCTGCCTGAAACTGGCTTAACACTATAGAGGCTTGGTAGTATAGGTTGTTACACGTCACCCTGGAAGCAATATGGGTGTATTTGTATGATACAGAGGATAACTTTGTTGCAGTGGAAGGATAAGCGAACACTACCTGCGTGTGGCCAGCTGGCGAAGTTTGGTTAGGCTGGTAAGCAAGGCAGTAACAGATAACTGAGCATTGACTGCCTTTAGTTAATGGCACTACTACTACCACTAAGCGCTGCGAACATCATAGTCCTGCAGAGGACTTCTAGCCTCTGAAAATAAAGCATTCTCCTTATATTGGCAGTTTAGACTTCTTTTCTTTCTGTATTTAGTCACTGAATGGTTGTCACTAAAAAAAAGTTTTAGGGCGTATTCAACTGTAATTCTCTTGAATTGTAGCACAATGTTCTACCTGCTACACGAACTGATCATGCTTGTGGGTAGGTAAGAAGCATCTGACTTGCGCATGCCTTCGTTTTGGCTTAGTGTCATAGGGAGAGGTCTTGGAATTCCTCATTACTAAGCTCAAATGAGTTCTGCTTTTCAGAATTACAGGGATTTTCTCTATCACTTCTAATAAACTTGTTTAGCACTTTAATTGTGCTGCTGTGTTGCATGGATTGTTTTTGCTGAGTAGCTTCCAGTTGGCATAATGTATTTGATCAAGCCCAGGTCTGCAATTTTGGTAGTAGTATCTTGGATGCAGTGGTTTCACTGACTGCTGTGATACATTTACTCAGGGCAGGTCATAAAGATGCAATTTTGGATACCTGCAGATAATCATAGTACTGTATCCGTGCTAAATGGCCTGCTTACAATGATGTACATTTATATATTTATTACTAAAGAAGTTACAGTTGCAATGAGAGGTTGATATTTGAAATAACAAGTTTATTAGTCTAGCAACATAGCAGATTTCTTGATATTCTTGTATGTTGTCATGACTTAAAACATAGGCTAGATTCCAAAGGCACGCCTTCTTCAGTTATCAATTTTTTGATGCACGCTTTTTTTGAAGAGAGTGGATTATGGGGGGGGGGGGCGGGCAGGGCAGAACAATGCATTAGCACTAGTCTTAAAGTTGATTATATTTCATAATAGCAGATGTAAATGATATGTATAATCAGACTTTTTTCTTTCTTATAACAACATGAGAAAATGTTACGAAGCTAATTTTACCTACCTGTTGAGTATGTTGGTGGGTACTGGCAGAGTGGTTTCCTAGCGCAGTATTATAGCTAAACAATCTCCTGAAAAGATGTTTTTAAGGTTTTCTTCTGCTTCTTACTGTAAATCAGAATTTTGGAGGCGACTGTGCGGTCACTTTCAATTCTGACAAAACTTCCCTTAGCTTTCTGGTACTTTTACTATAATAGATTATACTTAAATGCAAGAATTATTTATGCCATACTACAAATAATTTATGGTGAAGTTGAGTACCACCTTTGGTATTGCTTTTAGATGTTAGACTAATACGCTGTAACACTATATACAATTGACATAATACTGATAGAACAGTTCTTGCAAATACCTATTTAATATGTTACGATCCCTAAAGAACCAAATTGCTTTATAGCTGCCAATTACTGCAGATTAGACTTTTGCTAATTTGTGGTGTGTATACGACATATATGTGCTGTATGAACACTTCAGTTCCTGCACACAAACCATACAGCTGTATTTAGCTGTCAAGTTCAGGATTTTCAAATACACGAGGCAGACTATGTAATGCAGAATACTAGGGATTAATGAAAATCTGTTTAAAAGCAGATGATTGACGTAAATGTACAGTCTCAAAGAATTATTTTTTTTCAAGTATTAGAAGTCTTGTACATTTGACTTTTTAAATATTGTACATTGTTTGTTTATTCTTGTAAAATTCAGATAGGACAGCTCTAAGTATAGATTGTTTTGCATAGATGCGTTTAGCCCAGCACCTGCTGGTAACCAAGGCCCTCCTCCAATGATGGGTATGAATATGAACAACAGAGGAACTTTACCTGGCCCTGCAATGGGTCCTGGTCCTTCCATGGGACCAGAAGGAGCTGCAAATATGGGAACACCAATGATGCCAGATAATGGAACAGTGGTAACGTATCACAAATTTAATTACTTCGAATAGCTGTCATGTCTCATGGCCCATTTTTGTTACCAAAGATATTTTCACACTGAGTAAGAACGTGTTGCATGTTTTGGATCTATTAAAAGTAATTGATAAAACTTGTTCAGGTAAATAATTTGCAACACAGAAGGGAAATCTTTATTTGATATTACTATGAAAATCCTACTTCCCTTAGGAATGGGGTGAGTACTTTGATCAGTAACCAAACTTTAAATTGAGGTTAGAATGTACAGCACTTGTGGCAAGACTTTGCCTGTCTGACCTGTCATGAAAAACTCCCTGATAGAAGGAAATCACTTCTGTGAAATGAAGAAGGAACAACGTACCAGAGTAATCTGTGAATTTAGGTATTTGCTGTTTTTTCTTTTGTAAAACCAAATTCTGTGTATTAGCTTGTTGGGGTTTTTGAATAATAGTTAAATGTTGGAGGCTGTGTAGTGTGAAGATATCTTTGTGTAAACTATTTAATCTTTTAAAGCAACTTTAGTGTTTTTTGTATTTCCTTTCTTACACCGTTGAAAGCATGAGATTATGACAGTAATTATGCCACTTGGAAAATAAGTATGCCAACAGCTGTTAGGGATAACTGTCATACCAATACAGGAAAAATAATGCCCAGTTGCCAAGGATGGTGTGGAATGTCTTGTATACATCTTGAATTTTTTATCAAGAGCAGATGTGCCATTGGGATGCAGTTAAAGCAGTAGCCATTTTTGCTCTGTTCTCATAGCCAGTCACTTTTCCTAGCTGTAATGTCTTATGTAGAGAAACAACTATGTAATTTTTAATCTGATTTTTACATATTTTTCAATATTATTCTGTAAATAGATATTTGGGAACGTCTAGTGGTGGTGTGATACAAAGGAGTATATAGTATAAACAGTGATTCCGTTATAGTTTTATTGGAACACAAAAGCATTTTGTAGCCGTATGGGGTTTTTTAATATATATCTTCTCACCAGGATCCATCTTATACAGATTGCTCAGTAACAGTAAGTTTGGACAAAATCCTTTGTTCCGTAGAGGAATATGAGATTTTGATTGAGCACAAAATACATAATAAGTCTGGTCTCTACCAGTTAAAGGTGAGAATCTCGCTTCACATCATAGGAGCCATCTCATTTTATCAGTTGTATCATTCCTCACAAAGCAAGGAGGATGCTTTTCACAAAATACTGTTTTCAGAGATACTTTTGCTGGAGACCACTGCATTACTGATCACCTCTGAACATTCTCTTGTGGTTATGTAGACACTGAAAAAGAGGTGTAAGGGAAAGAACATGGTATCGTAAATCATGGTATCTATCTCAAACTGTTGTTTTTCTACAAAAAGTCATTCCAGGTATGGAAATGTAGGGAATACACTGACAGTTCAAAATGCATGCTTTAAAAAAACCTTTTTTTACTTCTGTTTTTTTCTGCATGCTACTGAAGGACAAATTAGATGTTTTTTATGTTGGGTGGGTTTTTTTGTTGGGTTTGGATTTTGGTTTTGTTTTTTTCATTTTGGAATTTCAGGGGTTTTAGTTTGGGATGCAGACCCCTACAGAAAGGTATAACCTTATTGTATTTTTCGTGTTGTTGGAAAGACACTTTAAAGATCTTTTGAGGGCTGTCTACTAAAAGACTGTAAGAATTAATTTCAATTTCTTCTGAGGGAAATGGAGAATATACTTTATAGACCAGAAATACAGTTTTCGTTTTTTAAATTGGATGTTTTTCTGAAGTCTTTTAGGGGGAAATTGGAGCGATCTTTTTGTTCCACTGCAGTCTTTTGAAACATAGGTTGTCTTTGAACATAACATTTTAAAAATATCTTTCCCCCTACACACTTTATTGTGGGTAGTTTATTACTGCAGTTTTCTTGTCAGCTGGAGAGAGGAGTCCTTGTTGGAAAGAGGACTTGATTTTTGTCCAAAAGTCAAGTGGTAAAAATTATCAGGGGTATGTGATAAGCTATTTCTTGAATTCATATCCATTGCTAACAAGCTGGCATGAGTTAAGGATAATTTTTAAACATTTTTTTTAACCAGTGCTGCAGATTTTAAGGGAGTTTGGGGCAGTAGTAGGTATTTAGGCAGCTGTTGAATTAACTTCTTTCTTATTCAATGTCAAATTTTAAACAGTGCACATGATATACAACCATAATCTAAGTTGCATATATTTTTATCTATATAGATATATATAATGCTGGTTTTAAGTAATATTTATATGAATTAGCAGACTTTAGAACTGTTGAGCTGTACTACTATTACTGGACTTAAACTTTCAGAAGAATTCTTCTCTGATTAGGACATATAAATAAAGTGCTAGTCTTGAATGTTCTTGTTGAACTCTGAATACTTGGGCAGTTAATACAGATCTCTGTACAGAAAGAATTTCTTCTGAAAGTGTAACTGTTCTCAACAGGTGAATGATGAGTCATTTCAAGATCTGATTGTAACTTAGATCTATGCTTTTAATGGTTTATGTTATGTTGAGTTAATGTTTTAAATTTCATCATGTGGGGTTCTGTTTTTAAACACTTGCATAAATACTGAACTGTAAGTGCTCAGATGCATGTTTTCTGTTTTAGGTCTTAATTGCTATAGCCAAATAAATCTGTGTAAGCACAGATACCTTCATTAATATTAAGCACAGAACTAAGGAAAATAAATGTAGAACATTAACTGGATTTTCATCTTACGTTGATATTTGAGATTAAGGGTTTTTTTAAACTAGGCATAGTCCAGTTATGCATTTTGTCACTAGCTGTGTCAGTTTATTTGGACTGGGTTTTAAAAGTCTAAAGACTCCTAAAGTGTCATACGAAAGACTGACTCCAGGTAGTATGGACTGAAATATTCACAGATATGTGGGTATACAAGTCTTCAGGTTATATTGCTCTTAAAAGAATAAATTTGCAGTCTCTAGAAATAAAAAAGCTGGGTTTTGTGGGCTTTTTTTTCCTAGCTCAACAATGTTTCTGTGTCTAATTTATTTAAGGGAGAAGCATTGTAGTTGGTATGTAAGGCAGAATAGGGCTCAGGTATACAATTATTGTTTGCTGTCTCTTCTGTTACATAGAGAATATGTATTGCTTCAGATGTGCTTGAGAGGATGAAGTTACATTCAGCACCAGATTTAGTCTTCATTCTTAAGTTTTTAACTTCTAATTTACGTTACAAAGTTGGAGCATAACATTAGCACTCTTTAATTTCCAGCTCTTTTTCCATAATGACTAATTGAATTGCTCCTTTCTTCCCTCTATGTGTGATCCTGATTCTGCTGGACTATCTGCTGAACTTCATGACAACATCACTTGTGGTTTTTGTTGTAACTCGCATTTGGCACGTTCCAAATGGACTTGTGTTAGCATAATGAGAGATTCCCTCAAGGAGGTCCATCACAGATGGGTTCGCCTCTGGTTAGTAGAACGGGCTCTGAAACTCCTCAGCCGCCAATGAGTGGTGTAGGTGCCGTCAGTGGTGGACCTGGTGGCTTTGGTAGAGGAAACCCAGGGGGCAACTTTGAAGGACCTAACAAGCGTCGCAGATACTAAAACTTACTTCATTCCTTACTGTTTAGAAATTCCAGTAAAACTATACAGTGATATGCCTTTATAATTTTAGCTGTTATCTGGAAACGGTTTTATTGTTATTGTAGTCTTTAAAACAGTTTCTTTTGTAAAACTTTTTTTGTATTCGGTCATAGGCTTTGTAGTATAGAGCAGAAATGATGCGGATCATTATGTAAGGCAATGTGTTTGTGACTAGCAAAATACAATGTGTGACTATGCTGTAAAACATGCAGTTATCTGATTACAATAAAATATAAAAATCACTTAAGGATTTTGGGAATGTTATTACTAATACTGGGTGAGAATAATTTTATGCTTAATTATAAGTGGCATCATTTTCATTCTTATGTAGTTTGTACTAAGTGTCAAGAAAGGTCCATTCTTAATAGTGAATCTGTTTAGCTAAACTGCGTGTTGCAGCACATACTATGAACAATTTATAACACAACTGCTTTTGTGTATTTCGACTTTTGAAGAGTATCAAATTTTATACAAAGTGTTCTCAAGGATACTGTGTCCTTGCATCTCAGTCTCCCTTTGCAAACTCGGTCACAATAGGCTTATCAACAGAGTATACCCATTACTCAAATCATTGGAAAATTTAACTTGGGGGAAAAAAAACCAACAACTTTGGAAAAGGAATCTGTATGTATGCTTTATTCATAACAGCATGAATGAATTTACCTAAACCATACTTCTACGGAAGAAAAATTCTTGTGACATCTGTGTGTTCTACTGATCGTGAAAGTATCTTGCCATTGCAAGGAAGGAGACGTTTGTGCAAGCTGGTTTAAAGCCACCTACTGCGTAATGCATCATTAAAAGTCTACATTTCCCCCAGTGGTTCGTTTGAATAGAAACAAGTCTGTTATCAGTGATGAACTGTTTAATTAGGAGGCAAATACATGTTTTCCAGTTTAAATAATTCTTCACTTACAGTAGAGTAATACGCATTGAGAAGGATTGCTCATGAGTATTATTAAATGTTTTACAGAATGATGAATTTGAAAAATACCCATTTCCAACACAAGTCAGGCTAGATTTGCTGATTGAGTCTTAAGATAAAACTGATGATAAAGCTATTAGGAAGCTTTTTATGATTCAGATTTTACCAGTCATGGAAGATGATGGAAAAGACCTATTGGTTCTATTCCTGTACTGGCAAGAAAGTAGGGATCTTTTTGCTTACTATTGCTTTTTTCCTGTGCAAAATAGTTGTAAAGTATTAGTGTTCTTTTTTTATCAGTTCACTCCCATTTTCAGAAATAGAAATTACTAAAATTTATCTCCGTGAATAGTGATACTGATTAACAACTGACTTGAGTTGTTAATTAGTGCCCTGATTATATTGAAATGGTATGTCCGTAGCCCAAAGCATGGGATGCAGGCAGCGGAGAGAGCATGTATGTCTGTTGTCTTAATATAGCAGTGATGGTCTTGCTGAATTGAATTGTGAGCAAATGGGTAACAGGAAAATTGTGGTATTGCTGCCATTTTGGAAGTACACTTACTTAAATTGCCAGTGTTATATGGCTGAAGGTGAGAGATTGTTTTCCTACAATTCAGGAGTTACCACATGTGTAGGTCCTCACTTGTGACATTTATAACTACTAATCATTTTCCTCTAAACTGTTTTTAATGTTGCCCTTTTTTGCGCGACTTGACATACGTGCCACACTTTAGTTTGTAATGTAATAGTGAGCTAGGTTTAAAGTCTGGAATACTGTTTCCCCTACATGTGTCACTTTAACAGCAGTCATTCTTCCAAACAAAACCTGCAACTGCTTCTACTTGGCACGCTATTCCTAAAACTCAAAATTTGGGAAAATTGCTATTTTTTCTCTGGGTGTAAACTAATGTTTGCATGTAGCAACTACTTAAGCTCTCTGCTTTGGTGTACTGCATTCAGTTGAAAATGCAGTTTAAATTGATGCCTAGTAAGGTGGCTAAATATTAGATTACTTTTGTCTTACCTTTTTCACCCTTGTACATGACGGTTTTTATGAGGATTGAGAAAGTAGTCGTGCGAGTTGGTAATTCTAAACTATAAAGCTGTAAGGGGAACATGTTTTAAATATAACTTGAACTAGATTCAAGAGGTCTGTTCACTTTTTTTCAAAGGAAAAACTCCTGTATATTTGTTTAGATACATACACCCTCATCCTTGTAGTATCTGAGTATGTTTCAGAAGTACATTAAACGTACCAAATCTGCCAAAAGTGGTTCATTCTTTTCTTGCCAGCCTCATGCTATTTGAAGTGCATGTTTGTTGCACTGCATTTGTGCTAGCAAGCAGAGATGTGTATTTGAAAGTTACTGTAGATTTTAATTAATATTAGTGATTTTCATTCCACAGTTCTGAGCTACCCTTCTTATAAAACTCTGACTTGGATGGCTCTGCTGCATGGTAACAGTGGATTTGTCTGCTGTCCTTAATTGCAGAAAATCATTTAAACCCTTTTTAAATATCGATGAACCAAGCCTTTAAGTCCTAAAAAATAAATACCGAAATGTTGAATTTGGGCACACTTTATAAAGATTTTGTGAAGAATGCCTTTTGTAGCTGATGGCAGCTGCTCTTCATAAAAGCTTTCTTGGGGCTCCCTGGCCATGTTGGTTGTGTACAGCTCCACTGTAAAGGCAGTGATTTTCATTTTGCCATATCTGATAGTAACTGACTCTAGCTATATGACAAAAGCGTAATTTTGTTTAAAAAGGAGTGGTCCCGATTTGTTTCTTAATGGTATGCAGATGTGGCCAAGCAGCGTTTTTGCTTGAAGGTACCACCCATGTGCTGGAAGTGTTTCATTTTTCATGTTCCTCATCTGGCCAATCCACTTACCACTTTTTCTCTGTACACATGTTCTTAAGTTTTTAACTGGCCTTGATCTGTTTGACTAGAAAGCACAGTGAAGTCCTGACTCTTCTGCTATATGCTGTGCTAAACCAAATGAAATTAACAACTACAGTGCACTTTACTTTTGGTTGTACTTAGTGAGCTTTTACATTATTCCTGAAATTTCAGTCTAAAATGCTTGATTTTCACAAGATACAATTTTAGTACTTAAAGATACCATCAAAGCTTTACTGTTCTGTCATAAGTAAAAGAAAGCATACCACCACCAGAATCCAGCTTGTCTAACTGCGTTTGCGCATTTATTACCTCAGTCACTTGAAGGGGAGCTATTGGGCACTTAAAATAAAATTTATTTTGGTTGTGAGTTTAATTTCTTTGTAGTTCTGTCCAGTGTGCTCATTAGATAACGCACATTGATATCTTGGGAAACTTGGTGGTGATTCAAATATACTTAACTATATTTATTTTCTAAGAAAAATGCAAATTACCATGGATTACCTAAAAAGAAAATTCCTGACCTTAAGTTGTTCTATTTATTGTCCACATGTACTTTATCCAGTTGGATATAAAGAGACAATAAATTGGGAACTTATTAGAACAAAAGATTAAAATACATGGCAAGAAGACAATATGAACCAAATGTTACATTAATTTTAACCTTAATCCAACAGGATGTTATGGCATGCATTCTTTGAGGAGCATTCTGATCTAAAGTATACTGTCATATTTAAAAATGTTACACCAAACTCATTTTTCCCCTTTTCCACTTTTGATTTCAGATTTTTTTTTAACTTGAAAAATAGAATAATCTGCAATTACAAATTCTTTTGAAAGGTACTAAATACAAATACATTTGACTCTTTTGAAGTACTGATTGTTAAACAGTCACAGTCTACCTTGAGATAACTTGGCCTAAAAATGCTGAAATAACCAATCTAAAGGAAGATCCTCAAGTGAAAAACAAAACCCCTTAGGCCCTTTGAAGGAAGAATATGCTTTGAGGTGATGTTCAGCAAATGAGTGGTGTGCTCTGATGGCATGAAGCTCATTTTACTTAAACATGTTGTGGAAACTAATTTTTTTGCATGCTTATTAATATATACTTTTTATATAACAAGTTGGATCATAGTTCTTCCCTTCTCAGTAAAGACAAGTCAAAATAAACTGTAAATTAACTATTGAAATGGCAGAGAAGGCTGGGTAGCAGTTGATGGGGTCAGTTTACATTGGACCGCCAACATGAATGCCTTGAGTCCCATTCCTGAGACTTGAAGTGGTGCGTATCCATAGGTGGTTTTACAGAGTCTGCATCCAGCACCTCTTGTGTGCTTATGCTTGGGGCCAAGACCAGAGGACTTGAGAGCACATATTTCAAATGCAATTTAATTGTCTTCTCAGGAGCCCTGAATTTATTAATTTGGCCACTGTGCTGTCAGCAAGATGCAGAACCATCTTGGGATTTGGTGCTTTCCTTGAGCTGTTAGCTCATCTCTAGCATGAGGGAATACCAGTCCAGACTTCCCTGATTATTGAATAGTGAGGAGGGAGGGAGCATGGCCTATGGAAAATACAGAGGTTGGACATTATTCCTTTATTGGCTGTTTGGTGCTCGTTTAGTGGCAAATGGTGGATTGACTGTATTTACCCCAAAAGCATTTGCTTTCTTAAAAATCCATTTAATGAAATGTGAGGTCTTAGTAACAATAGAAGGATTGGCTAAAAACTTGGAATACTTAATGTCAGGTGTCATTTTTCCCATTGGATTGGCTTTTTGTTGCCTTTTGGGATATACCGTGAAATATACTTAGTCTTAGTAGGTAGTCTCACCAATTTGGTGTTTTGTTGTTATGAAGAAATCAGTTTTGTTAATAGTTTTGCGTTTTTCCAAATAAAATATTTTAAACATCATAGCTGTAAGCATTTCAGGTTTGTTTTCACAGTAATCCATGAAATACGGAAGTTTATAAAAGTTAAGTTATCTATGTCTAAAATGTAAGTTGTAGAATAGATAAACTGAACAATAAATTTTCATGAAAACAGTAATTTTGATGATCTTAAATGCATGGAAACAAGCCCTCAATGTGTTCATTTTCAATGGGATAGATTTAATAGGTCTTTTCCATCTTGAACTTCCTTAAACTACTATGAAAATTAGTACAATTGAAATTTGGAGATACTCATATTGATGACCTCAGCCTGACTTCTAAAAGCAGTAAGAGATGGATTTCTTCAGAAAAGCAGTTTAGAACAGCAACCATTTTTTGCTAATTGAAGGAACCGTTCAAAAATGTTTAAGTTCAAAGATAATTATAGCATACTTATAGGTTAAACCATTAAAAAAGACTACTCTCATATAATGATTATTTTATACCTAAATCACATGAAAAGAAAAAAATCTTTGTAAATGT